CAAATGAGATCGATATTCTACTGCAACATTTAAATTCTATTGAGCCGTCCATCCAATTCACGGTAGAACGTGAAATAAATGGACATTTAGCTTTTTTAGATTTGAATGTACACAGAACTGTCGAAGGGAAGTTAGAGACTGATGTTTATCGCAAACCCACACACACAGACAAATGCTTGTCATACGACTCTCATCACCCAGTAAACCATAAAAGATCCATAGCAAAAACTTTGCTTCAAAGAGCTGAATCGTTGCCGTCAAACAGTGATTCTCAAGCTAATGAACGTGAATATGTTCTAAATGTTTTAGGGGAAAACAATTACCCAAAGCGTTTTCTTAATGATTGCCTGAGACCACCTGTTTGTAGGAACCAAAATAACTCCGAGGTTGATACCTCTGTTAAGGGTTTTGCAATAGTTCCATACATTCAAGGTGTCACAGAACCAATCAAGAGAATCTTAAGTAATTGTAATATTAAGGTTGCCTTAAAACCCTATTTGACCTTAGGCCATATTTTCGCAAAGCCAAAAGATCCTGTTGAAAAAAATCAGAAGACTCATGCTATATATTCTATACCATGCAGTGACTGCGATAAAGAGTATTTGGGTCAGTCTAAACGCCAGTTTGGTACACGGCTAAAAGAACATCAAAAGGCTGTTTCAACTTTAGACAAGGGAAAATCAGCTTTAGCCGAACATGTATGTTACACCAAACACGAGATTGCGTGGGAAAACTCTAAAGTAATTACCACAAACAATCGTTACGGTCAAAGACTTTGCCTAGAAGCGTGGCATATAAATATGAGTCATCATGCTTTGAATAGGGATGACGGCGCCTATTTGCCAGAAGAATATATGCATCTTCTTGGCAGGTGACGTCATCCCTTGGGTATTTAAGAAGCCTCGATCGCAGTTTCAGATCACCCCTGATGAAGACACTAGACTGGAGTGTCGAAACGTTGAGTCTTGATTACAATTCGACTGGGCTTTGTAATCATTTATTTAAACCAGAGTAGCGAGCGAAACATGATTGATATACCTGGTTGCAGTGAACGAACAAACTTTATAAGATATAGGAGAGTCTGAATTTCAGACACTCCTAAAAATACTTTTGGTGTACGTATTTACTGTTCGCAGACAGTCAAATTGTGTCTGCCAAAAAAGGGAAATTCTTTAAACAAATTGACGAATCTGCGACTTTTCGTTAATTTCCTCAATCTGCATGTGCGAAAATCACAAGTTTGGAATTGTTCAAAATTCTTTGGAACGCGTTCGCGGGCGGTAACGTTTCTCTCATACGCAATAGTGTGACAGAGCCACTAGTTCTGTTGAGCGCGGAGATGCCCAAAATATTGATATTTGATGAGTAATTAAAGCTTGCATGCAGTTGACAAGCATTTCAAATGTAACTAAAACTATCTCGTTTCGCCATTCTTGTAAAAAACTCAACGGTACCCACTAGCCAAAGGACAGTCAACTAACCCACTCTCCCTTGCGGGTAAAAAAAAAACCTGTTGACCGCTTTACATTGGGAACCAATGCATGCTCACGAGAAACTGCATTTCCAAACTCGTCGCTGATTTTGTCGCACGACAATGTTCAGTCATGCGCGATAGGTGCAGTTTGTTGTCAAAGCATGCATATATAACTACGACTTAACAAAGACATATTTTAATTGTCGACATAATCTATATTCATGAATTTCTAATAAGGTTATTTAACACGCATTGACAATCTCCGATTTGTCGTGCCTTAAAATTATCGAGAAATTAGAAGATCGAGGTTACTGGAAGAGAGTTTTTTGCCGAAGATCTCGCCTTGGCGGATAATACTGTCGAACCTAGTAAGTTCTCTTTGAAGAAATATAGTGTATTCGTGCCATATTTTCATTCAACTGTTTCATAATGTAATGCTTCAGTCAGACTAACAATATGAGATATTTCGTAAAATGTTTTCTCTTCATTCCTATACTTAAGCGAATACAACATTCAGTCACACAAACATAATATTTATATGATTTGTTTAATCTATTCAGTACAGCCGAAACCACGAACGTCAAGATTCAATTGCACCATTATACCATGTTATTATATATGAATATTCTATTCTGTATGTATGTGTGTTTACATACGTATGCTTGTATACGTGATTACAAAGAAATTACTGATATGTGTTCGATGCAAGCGCCAGTCAACGTATAAAACCTCCTTATATCACTATATGCACCCCACTTGTCTAAATTAACATTCCTCGACCTGTCAAGGACATTACAGCGCATTATATATATATATATATATATATATATATATATATATATATATATATATATATATATATATATATATATATATGTATGTATATGTATATATATATATATATATATATATATATATATATATATATATATATATATATATATATATATATATATATATAGCTTAAGATTTTGGTTTACGAAACACAAACAGTGCTCAATACCATATAGATAGAGCGTAATATAGTTTTTCGTTTTACCTAAAAAAACCACAACAGTCTGTTTCATCCGTATAGGAATCATCAGGTGGTCTATACGGATGAAACAGACTGTTGTGGTTTTTTGAGGTAAAACGAAAAACTATATATATACGGTATATATATATATATATATATATATATATATATATATATATATATATATATATATATATATATATATATATATATATATATATATATATATATATATATATATATAGTACTAACTAGTAATCTTTACGATAACATCTTCCCATCCAATATGCCCACCCGTGAAAAAATGTGAATACAAGTGTTCCCCCGCACTTCCCTTTTGATCATTTCCTGATGTCCTAAAATGCTGCAGCTTTTATACATGGTTGTTGAACGGTTTTCTAAATGATGCTATAAACTACCCACGTACATTTTTTGGCATTGTTTATTTAAGTAAACCACCACTTGTGAATTACAATTTTAGATAATACTTATTTTGAGTAACACAACTTAATATATCGGCAAAAGATGGGGACAGCCATTGGTACAAAAGATGGGGACAGACATCTTTTTCGTCCGGTTACATGGTGAGGTATCTTACTTTTGGCCGGAATTTCTATAGTTTTTTTTTAACTCGTGTCACGACATTGTTAAGTGTACTTGGGGATGGTCTTATTATAGTAAATTGCATGGCATATTTTTTTATAAACTTTATTTAATATATGTTTGCCCTAAAAGCCAAGCCATAACAAGGGAGCCAACATTGACAGTTTTTCTATAAAAATACATAGTTAATTAAATTGAATTAAACACAAGAAAGACAAATACAAAAAAATACAATAATTGTATTTCGCACAAAAAAGACAAATACGAAAAAGAACACGAACACTATGAAAAAATACTCAAGGAAAAACGTTGAACTGTACAAAACAACAAACAATATTTTCCTCATACAGTCTGTTGAAGTAATACCATTACTTTTAAATTTAACTTAATTCAACTTGTAGACATCATGAAGCTGTGTACGCAGTTATATTTTCATAATTTCTTCACCTGTTTTAGGTCCTCTAGCAATTTCGTTCCACACGAATAATTTTCGTGTACTGTGTTATACTGCAATGTTTGCGTATGCATGTGTTAGGAAATAACTAAAACCCGGCTGAAACATCGCGTATATTTAAAATCAGATTTAAAGGCTTGTAGTGCTACATTTTAGTCACAATTCATTGATTTCCATGCATGGTAACAGTATTGGAACTCTATTTAAAAAAAATGACAACTGAGCCATCTTGTTAGTATAACTAAGCGCGTATATGTGACAATGAGATCAATATAGAAACGAATCTCACCACGAATCTCACAATATTTTCATGGGCTCACACGCCATAAAAGCCTTAATAGCAGACAATATCAAACAAATTCACCTTAGACATCTAAAATCCAACATATTTTACAAGTTTTCGTAACGAACTGACTAAGATATGAATGATTTTCTAGCAACGATTCTCACTTTCTGTCATATAATAGCCAATGAGATATAGATTTATTTACAGTTTTGTAGTGAGCTTCGTTCAAAAACGAACTTAAAAAGGGATATCTGCAAAGTTAACCGATTGTAATTAAGGAAATTGGTTTCTTGTAGGCCATATGCATATAAAATGTAAGATAAGTAAAATTTATAGTAACGCAAATCAGCGTTTTAGACCGAGAATCGTTAGCGAGCATCGTGTAATATGAGACATATGAAATTTGACTACACTGTAAAAACTGATAGGTTAAAACAACCTATTTCTAAAGGTTACAACCAATAATTAAAGGTTGTTTTAACCAATTGAATGGGTTAGAACCGATTTAAATTAGTTAAAATAACCTATTATTATCAGGTCAAATTTTGCGACCAATAAAAATAGGTTAATTTAACCAATCTTTTTGGTTAAGCAAATTTACCGATTGGTTATTATTCCCAAATAGCTCATTATAACCATTATGATTAGGTCAAAATACTGAAAACTAAACTAACCTATATGAAATATGTTGAAATATTTAGTTCGACTTATGACATATACTTTCAATTTCAAGGAGTTATTCTCACTTCACTCAGGTAAAAGCCATTTATTAAATCGTATTGTAGAAGTGAAATAGTGAGTAATTTTCCACCAAGTTTTTACTCGGCCTGTGTATTATAACTCGACCATTACACATAGGAATGACAAAACTACCTAGAATTAGGGCGATATTTTCTATACAAATTCGTAGTGAAGGACTGCAGTTCGTGTAAAATCAACCCAAGATTTAATTCAGCTGGTTGACGCGCCGTTTTTCTCGAATATTGCCAAGTCAGATTCTTGTAGTTGTATTACAAGTATATCGGACCATATCGGCTTCTTATTGTTCGATCGCACGCGACGATCGAATGTAGCCAGAAATTGTCAGCGAGTTTTTCTTGTCAAATTAATTTAACACCAGCATTGCTCTCATCTATATTTTTGCTGCGTAAATCTCTATTATAATTACCCGCGTTTGCCAGAGATTCTGTAATTTGAACTTGTGGAATGTTTTGCTGCTGAATATAATTTTCAACAAGTGGAAATTCCAAACTTTCAACCAATTAACATGCTTAGAATATATCACGTGTTGTAGTAATTCGATCTGTATGACACATTGACAACAAGCGCCAAGTTCGATCTTTTGAGAGCAAGCATTCAAAGGAGAAGATTTTTATTCAAATTTTCTATTATAAAGTTCGAAAGACCTAGTAAAATACATGGAATTTGAAAGGTATGTCTATTGTGTATTTACTCATTTGTATGCGGATAGTTACTTGACTTACTGTAGTTATATTTTTATTCAAATCGAAGGCCTGTATTTTATATTAGTCGCTTCGCCGCCGATTCACTGAAGGCATCTGGACGTTCAGTTGTAAATTTTCGATTAATTTCTATTAGCAGAAGTCTATAAGTCTAATCTACAGTCTCCACGTATATGTGTTGTTAAGAAAATCGTATAGCTTATTTGTGTGATATGCATTTGTATGTTGTAATTTTCTGTTAAATATTTGCTATAAAGAAGATGCTTGTGATGTAATACTTAGGGCTAGTGTATGTATATCCACACCGGACAAGCTTGAAAAATATGCCTGTCCATGGTGGGAATCGAACCTACGAGCTTTGGAATACTAGCCCAATGCTCTGCCAACTGAGCTTTTGATACCAATGTAATTTAGTAGTCATGATATTTTCTGTGTTGATGCAATGTACTCAGGTGAATATATGCTTGTGATGTTACTCTGAGACTCAGAGTATTAACATCACAAGCATATATTCACCTGAGTACATTGCATCAACACAGAAAATATCATGATGAGTGTATATCCACACCGGGCAAGCTTGAAAAATACGCCTGTCCACGGTGGGAATCAAACCTGTGGACAGATTTAGAACTAGATTCTGTTCTGATTAATATCACATACTCGAACCACAGTTAAGGACTTTGCTCGAACCGATCTGACCGCATAGCTCAGTTGGCAGAGCATTGGGCTAGTATTCCAAAGGTCATAGGTTTGATTCCCACCATGGACAGGCTTATTTTTCAATCTTGCTCGGGGTGGATACACACTCAGTGTAATATCACAAGCATCATATTCACCTGAGTGCATTGCATCAGCACAGAAAATATCATGATGAGTGTATATCCACACCGGGCAAGCTTGAAAAATACACCTGTCCACGGTGGGAATCAAACCTGTGGACAGATTTAGAACTAGATTCTGTTCTGAAATATCACATACTCGAACCACAGTTAAGGACCTTGCTCGAACCAACCTGACCGCATAGCTCAGTTGGCAGAGCATTGGGCTAGTATTCCAAAGGTCATAGGTCTGATTCCCACCATGGACAGGCATATTTTTCAAGCTTGCTTGGGGTGGATATACACTCAGTGTAACATCACAAGCATCATATTAACCTGAGTACATTGCATCAGCACAGAAAATATCATTTGCTATAACGTTGACATGTGTACAGTACTTTTATATGGTATGTGACTTGTTTGAAATGCAGTCACATTAATGGCATATAGACAGCATTGCAATAGCCCATCTCGACATCTCCCAATATTACCCAATGCATGGCATGTGCTTGCTATGCCTATGGTAACCCTCCTATCGGTCAGCCTAAAACATGTGAAAGGGGCTGCTTATATAGAGGCGAGCCAGCCCAGGTAACTTGGCTATAGCTTGCTTTCCCTGGACGAATGTCTATTTACATGTCTTATGAGCCTCTCTAGATGGGCTCATGGGCTACGCTCGCCAAAACAAATCACCCAGACTGAGTTGTGTAATAGCAGCACATTTTCAAATAAAGTAAATCAACATCATACTTTTGCAAACAGTTTAGAAATGTAACTGACAAAAACAATCACAGACTGATATCTTTTAATGTTGAAATTGATTGGGAAATGTCATTTTATTAGAAGATTGCATGTAAAATTTAACTGATGGACTTGCATGACATGCTTGATTGAACAGTCACACTACATGCATATTTTACATCTTGTAAATATTCTACATTGAACAGAATGTTAACCCTTTATGTGACATTTTACTCATGAAGGAGAGAGGCTGCCATTCAATGGGTTAAAGCCTTTCTTTAATTAAATGGAAATTTTGAACAATAAATATGTAACAATTATACATACTGTGCCGGGAATGGAACCTTCTGCCCTGTGGTTCTGAACAGCTCTTTAACAGCCGAGAGACACTCAAGCCCTGAGAGTCCAAGCCCCAAGAGTCCATCAAGCTAATTAGAGTTCATGTATATATGAATTGTAAATGTTCACAGTAAAATTTTAAGCAGAACAGCATGAAGCTTTTTATTTAGGTTTGGAGAATACATTTTTGCAGTGTGTATGTATGCATGTGTAAATATTTATCTCCTTTTGATTTTTGTAGAGTTGGAAAACCGCTGTATTCTTGCAGCATTTGCCTGCCTTTGAAAAGGCAGCAAGCAAACAAATTCCAGGGGAGCTATTTTTCGAAGTTGTGAATGTAAGTCAATTTTGTATATTTTATGCCATTTAGCTGATTAGTGATGTCAGAACTTATTAACCCTTTAAGCTGCAGAGCTTCTCTATTGACAAGCAAAATCGTCTGGCATTAGACAAGTAGAAAAAAAATGTAGGGCATGCTGGAGTGCATTGCGGCTTAATGCGTTAATTATAGACATTGTCAGATTTTTTGGTTAAAAACCATTAAGCTGCAGAGCTTCCCTATTGACGAGTAAAATCGTCTGGCATTAGACAAGTTAAAGGGGAAGTCAAGTCCGTAATGTAAACAAACGGTTTGTTTACATTTTGAACTGCTGTATTTTTTAAAATATGATGTACTGTCTGAATATCTAACACCGTTTTGGTTCGCTATACTTCTAAATGAGTATGAAATAGAGTTTATGTTCAGAAAAATTCGAAATTTGGGCAATGTTCACATTAGAGGTCCTCACATTGTTATGAGCAGAACCGATGCGCAGAATGGACTTGACTTCCCCTTTAAAAAAAAACAAGTAGGGCGCGCTGGTTGTTGTGCAGTACAGTTGCAACATGCATGCACATACATAGGCTACCTGGATATATTTGGTAGTGATGTTAAGTTTCCTTGTAAGATCCTTAATGTTGCATGCATATAGAATATATTCTCATTTTTTGTTTGCAGAGTGATTTTGAAATCCAGCATACTGAGAGAATAAAGGAGTGTTCAACACCGCTATGGGCAACCGGATCTCTACAAGAGATAAGTTCACTTACCCTCATTGCAGAGGGTATATGGTATAGTTGCCATATTAAGAAGAAGTACTATAATCAGCACTATTACATGCGTATTAGCAGCGTACCGTAAACCTCCGAATATAAGCCTCCCCCGAATATAAGCCCCTCCCGAATATAAGCCCCCCCCGTGTATAAGCCCACCACATGTAGTAACGCTCACCTCATTCCAAATATAAGCCCCCCCCCGAATATAAGCCCACTTGTTTATCAGTTATCACCATTTATTGTTTATCACTATTACCACTTACCACTATTATTCACTATTATTACTATGCATGCTAGTATGCTTAACACTTGTTTATCACTATTACTATACTTGTTTGTCACTATTACACTAACACAAAAGATCGTCCATGTATAAGCCCCCCCCCCTGTATATAAGCCCCTCCTTGTATAAGCCCATCAAAAATCGCTTACGGAAAAATATAAGCCCAGGGCTTACAGTCGGAGGTTTACGGTATTTTGTTCTTAATGCTGAATACCTCAATGGCCTTGGCAATGTTCCTCGAGCATATTCGGCTGGGAAGGATTGGTCAAACTCTGCCAATCGGTGAACTATAGAACACAAGCTAGAACTAAGATTATATGGCGATCGATTGTTGTAACATATTATAATAATGAGAGATTGAGAATGCACAAACAGGCCGGGGTTGCATGGTGATCGCGATCTAATTAATGCTAAGCACTAAGTGCTTAGCCATGATTTCATGATAATATATAATACTTGACAAAACCATGCAACTCTCTAGCCTGTGTGTCAGTAACAGTGTAGTCAACTGGAACACAGGCTATAGTAACACAAAACGTACTACTGTGTACTTACTGTAATTTTAGATGTTACAAAATATATTTTTATATACAGTTCATAATATTGTTTGATTATAGCGTACTTGGATGATTAATTGCCTGCAGAATTATTGTTTAGCTATTTTGTTTTAGCGCATCTTATTCAGTTGACGCAACATCATTTGACCAACGAAAGTGCGCGATGTTTCGTACTCCGACTTTGACCGTTATTTACTGGTTGTTATAACTAAAAAAATTGGCCAAATCAACCAAAATATTATTGGTGAATATCCGCCATTTGTATTATAGTTAAAACAACCTATATTTATTTGGTTGAAATATGCTCAATTTGACAGTTTAAATTTTAGTCATTTTAACTTTTGAATATAGGTTGGAATTACCTTTTTTAATTGGTCAAAATAACCATAAATTTTTAGTTCAATCAACCAATAATTAATACGTTAAAATGACATATTACAGATTTACAGGTTAAAGTAACCATTTTCTATGGTTTGTTTTAACCTATTTAATTTTAGTTGTTTTAACCTATTAAAACAACCTATTTCTTATGGGTTATAAACCAACCCATTTTTAATGGTTTGTTTTAACCTATTTATTTTCGGTTCTTTTAACCTATTGAAATAACCTATTTTTATCGGGTTGTCCTAGACCAAACCAAATAACCTATTTTTTTTGGTTATTTTAACCTATCAGTTTTTACAGTGTAGTTTCCATTTGGACGTTAGTTGTCGCTGGCACGACAAGCAGTAGATGTGAAATAGTCTAACATAATAATAGTCTTTTTGTGTGTTATATGCAAATCAGTCTTAATGATTGCAGAGCTTTGTAAAGTTTTCTTGACACTCTATTACATCAGCCACTTGTCGTGCCAGCGACAACTAACGACCAAATGGAAACTAGGATTAAGAGGAAGAGTGAGGAGTTTATTTTAGATAATTTAACATTCAATTTTAATTCCCTCTTGGGAATTGTTTACGTTTCGTTTTCCATGCAATTCCCAACGGTGGAAGAATGTGATTTCGACCAGCAAATTTTATTTGATGAGTATGTGGCCATTTCTCATCTTACGATTTAAAAAGACTATCATTGAAAATTAAGCTAAATAACTTTTCTTTCGTCCTATGTAAAATTGTTTAGCTACGTTTATGATGCACGACAGCCTGTTGAATTTAGACCCCCTGTATAATCAAGGACTACATTTTTTATATAGTACATCTTATCAGGGGTAGCCAAAAGTTTGCCAGGGGGGCCGGGCCCCCCGGCCCCACCCCTGGCTACGCCTCTGTAATGAATTCTCGTTTCCCCGATCGGAAATTATCAATAATATGGCTCACGGCTATAAGCATATAAACCACGTTTACGTGACGAGAATAGAGTTCACATTTCACGAGACCAAATATTAGTAATTCACAACTCTCGAAAAACTATACGGCAAGGACCGTAACCAAAACTGCGGACGGACCCTTCCTCTCGCCCGAAAAAGTGCTGTGTGCTTGAAATATCAATTCTGCTCTCCTTCCTCTACTTTAAGCCTTCAAACGAAGTTATTTTTCCTCAACCTTGTCTAATTTATTGCCTGATTATTTTCGAAGACGACGTACTATGTCGCAAATTTAGTAATTTACAATTTCAAATCTTGTTGAAGAATGAACGTGGTGGCTCGTTATATTTTAATTACAGAGCTCAGATGTCTTACTGTCAGGGGCCGGTTGTATAAAACTCTTAATCACTTTTTTAATCACTATTTTGTAGTTAAATAGTGATTAACTCTCAAATAAGCGATTCTTATTGGATGACGTTTCCACTTAATTATAATTAACTTTAATCACTTTTTTATACAACGGGCCCCAGGTGTCTAATAAATATCCACTAGTTAATTTGGATGGACTTTGAGACTCCGTAGACCACCCCTCTACAGCCACCCACTCTGAATCTCGCACAAAGTAGTGAATGGCCTGGAAATTGAGAAGGCAAATGCGAGAACCTTCGAAGAAAGAGATAAGTGAATAGCACTCACTATAGCCTGCGAGCATGCTCTCAAGGTGAATTGAGAGCCTGCACTGATGGTATACAATTTTGGATATCTGCGTCTAGAAGTGGGACACGAAATTCTCATTGGTCAGATGCTATAATTTATATGTTTCCGCTGAGCTCTATATATGTCAACTGCTGAAGCACTATGCATAAAAAACACATGAACTGATCAAATTGGTATTGGCCGTCTTTATCTCAAATCACGAAATGATCTGTTTTGAGAAAATAGTAATTAAAACATTAAATTTTTTCTTTTTTTTTAATATCTTATATTTTGAAAAACAGTATAAACTCTACGTTCTAAATTTAGTTTGCATGAAAGTTGGAAACAACACCATATAAGGATAGACATTCCATATTTGGAAAAACGAACGATGCGGGCTGATTTTCAAAATTGTATGCCATCAGTGCAGGCTCTCATTTCACTTTGAGCGCTTGTTCGCAGGCTACACTCACTATATTGATCAACAACTTCGACCTATTACAGTTTTAGTATAAACCTTGTTCAATGGTATAAACCTACTAGTAGGCTATCATGTATCGCGCATTCTGAATGGCTACGCTACTAGTAGGCTATTAGTGATAGCCTACTAGTAGCAACAAGCGGCGAAAGGCGCGAGGGTCAATGGCCGTTTTTAAGTATTAAAAGCTACATTTAAAGGGCAAAAGCTTATCAAAATGGCCTAATTTTGGTTCTGGATTACACACAAACAAAGACTCTTGGAAACTGTTGACACATGCGGTAAAATTTTAAAGTTTTCTCAACTTTGCTCGTTGTTTTGAGCATGAAAGTGACAGGAAATTTTTTAAAATATATGCACAATTAATGTTTGTTAATATTCCAAGCAGAATCGTTGAAATTCGACAATACTTTGTAGCTAGAATGAAATACAATACTTTACAACACATATATATATACAACGCAGAGAGAGAGCATCTGTCATGTGGGCGGAAAGAAGGATTATCCAAGCGAAGCGAAACATGATAGAGAAAAAAGTAATTAACTGAGAATGGATTATTTCGCTATATTTACAACAATGTTTAATATATTAAAAGGAATAAGATAGAAAGGGAAGACCCGACAAGTAGAAGATATTAAGTTAAAGTGTTATGTGAACAGTTGTAGTTCTTTACTAGCTTTAAGTCCAGTGTTAAGAAAAGGTTTGTTATGTTTGATAAGCAGTGCTTCAAGAAAAGCAAGAATGTTGTAGTTGTTAGATTTTGTAATGTGAAGTATTCTGTAGCTGTTGAAAACAAGGTTTACAATAGGAGAAGAGTTGTCAGAAGGCAAAGGAAGATCGTTGAGTAGTGTGAACTGGTCTTGTAAAGTAGCTAAGAATTGAGCATGTTCACATTCAGAAAAATGTTGGCCCACTGCACTAGAAGAGAGCCTAGTTGCATGCTCTTTCAAACGTACAGAAAGGCATCTTTGTGTCATGCCAATATAGGTTTTGCCACAACCAGGGCAAGCGACCTCGTATACAAGATTACTACGAGATAAAGGAGGAAGTTTATCTTTGTTGGAAACAAAATAAGAGAGTTTTTTAGTGTCATAAATAGTGATGAACTTAACCGGTTTAGAAAGAAATCTTTGTATTTTATTGAGACATGATTTTAAAAGAAAATCGCCACGGTTCCCGAGATAAGGAATACGAATCCAAATTTTAGGCAACATATCATCATCAGTGTCATGATTAACGGTATCGGAAGTAGAATTATCAATATATTTGGTTTTAAGCTTTTTAATCAAAAAGTTTCTAACGCCATTAGGATAACCATTCCAAGACATAAAAGATTTTATGGTTTCAATTTGATTGTTGAAAAGTGTTTTTGAACTGCAAATTTTAAAAGCCCGGTAGAACAGAGATTTTACCCATGCAGTTTTGCGATGAAAAGGCTCAAAACTTGAAAAATGTGAATACTGACCGGTGTGGGTGTCCTTACGATAAATGTCAGTACCATCAACCGAGACTTTTATGTCTAAAAAATGAACAACACCATCGGGAAAAGTATCAACTGTGAAATTTAAGTTCGGATCGAAACTATTGAACTTAGCTAAAACGGCAGAAATATTGGAAGGTTTTATCAAAACAAGAGTGTCATCAACGTAACGTTTATAGAATTTTATAGTACCATCGGCAATCAACTCGGAAACTATTAATCTTTCAAATTCAGTTAAAATTATATTAGCTAAGACAGGTCCTAATGAAGAACCCATAGAAACGCCGTCTTTTTGGACATAAATTTGCTCGTCAAAAGAAAAGGCAGTTTTGTTGCAACAATCCAAAATGAGTTTTTTCAAAGTGCGTTTTTCCAAAGTGGTTGTCATTAATTCGTCTTTATAAATACGATCTAGAATAATTTTGACTGTGCGGGAAAGTGGAACATTGGTAAAGAGGGATTCAACATCGAAAGAAACGAACTGGTAGCCTTCTTGAAACAAATGTTTGGGAATATTGTTAATATTGGTCACCGCATCAAAAGAATCAGAAAGAGAATGATCGTTTAAAGTAAGAGGATTTAGTAAAGAAGATAAAAATTTTCCAACGTTGTAGTGTGGAGTGTTAGTAGTGTCAACTATTGGTCGGAATTTGGGTAAAGTGTCAAATTTCTTGTGAGTCTTTGGCAAGCCATGTGCTCTGCCAAAATGTGCTGTCATAGGTCTTAGAGCGTCAAGTTGTTCGTCAGTAATTTCATTACGTTTGTGAAGTTTAAGTAGGTAGTTCTGTAAAGAATGAAGTCTAGTTAATGTCGGGTCATAATCCAATTTCTTAAACTTAGAGCCGGAATCAGAAAAAAGAGATTTGATGGAAATTACATAATCAGAGCGATTAATGAGCACAATGCCATTTCCTTTATCAGGCTTAAGGATGGCAAAAGTTTCGGTTAGTTTGTTTAAAATGTTTATCTTCTTGCGCCCTAGCTTAAACTCCTTCAAGTCAAGATCAATATAATTATAAGTGAAGGAGCGAAGAGAGTTCTTAATCTTATCTTGTACGTATCTTCCTTCCTTGAAAATATCCAAACGTGATACCTGTCTCCAAACGTCTTCAGCCACAGCCATGATTTCTAGTTGGTTAGGTCGAGTTGCCAGGCCATATCTGAGTCCCAACTTCAAAACATCTAGTTCATCGGACGAGAGCGAGTGATTCGTCAAGTTCACAATTGTTTCGTTCGGGTTCTCAGTGATACCATCTGATGTCCGTTTCAGTGCGGTTAAG